TGTAAGCGATGATGATGATGATGATGGTGGTGATGATGGTGGTGGTAATGATGGTGGTGGTGATGATGAAGATGATGATGGTGGTGGTGGTTAAAAGGCTGACCAATGCTTCCAACCAGGAATGATTCACAAAGGGTCTGCATGTTAAAGGAAAGAGTTAATATAAATTACTCCTTCATTCATTCACTTATTAATTCACTCATTAATTCATTCATTCAATCAATCATTCAAACAATCACTCTTTCATTCATTTATTTTTACCTTTAAACACAATGCCATTCTTTTAATTATTATTCAATCATTCCTTCTTTCATTCATTCATTTTTACATTCATCAACTCATCCATCCATCAATTCATCCATTAATTCTTCCAATAAAGCACATCCCTGATTTTGGACCCCCCAGAACTAACAAACGCTCCAAGCAAGTAATAGTTAGTCGGGTAAACTTTTCTATGAATCATCAGCGCAATGATCAGCCCAATCGATGAGAAACCAAAGATCAAAAATAACCACTGGCTGTCGTGATGATGATGATAGTTATTATTATTATTGTTGTTATAATTAAACAGATGATGAAGGTTGTTGTCAAAATTATAACTGATAGAAGTGTTAATAATGACAACAAAAACAATGAACCAATAACAACAACAATAATAATAACAACAATGATAATAATAATAATAATAACTGACTTATTTTGAGCGAACAGTCTGATTGGCTCGACAGCCACGAACAGCAGACCAATCAGAGTGGTGCATAGCAGCTGACTGCTCAATATCCCGTACACCTTTCTGAGAAAACCTTGATTAGGAATTAGGGATTCGAAAAGATCATAAATAAGAAGCGTGATTAAAGATTATCAGAAGATCACAAATACAGATTACCAAAAAACATATATATACTCTCAAATGTACCAACAACAAATAGGCAGGATTATATTCAAGAAAGAATTACTGAAAGGTCTCTTATATTTATATTTGCATAAACTAAAATTAGTGCGGGTGGCCAAGGCAGGGTTTACCATGTATATCAAATTTTTATAAATAAAATAAAATAAATCAATTATAAATATAAAACAATTATTAAATTCATGATATTATTTAAGACTAAATCTCTACATTCAAGACCAAGGGCCAAACACTTTTAACATTATATTACAAATTATCCAAATATTCTAAATAAAATTAATTAATTAAATAATTAATTAAATTAATTAGGACAAGTAAATAAATTACTTACCGAGTCTAATGTACACATGGCTACTAGCTACATTAGAGCCGTACATGAAATCATCCACGATTCCAGATTTACTGGCCGTCTCGTCGCTGTTAGCATTCACAAAGTTATCAAATGACATCATCTTTCCCTAACTTTAGTTCGGTAGAGTTAGTGAATTACTGATTCTCCGTGGCGTATTGTGTACTGTACATACAAGTAATTTAGTTTTTGAGGTTTCCGTCTCGTTCGGATCAACAACACATCAAATCGAGTGAACTGAACCAAGAAATAATAATTTTTTAAATTATTAAAAAATAATAAAATAATAAATCACCTAATTCGTAAATTTACAACAAAAAAGTTATTATTTACGTAATTATATTTTTTACCTGGTAAATTCCGGTAATTACGTTTGTTATGAAAATAACTTTAGGGATGGGCAAAAACATTTGTAATTAACATAAATAGTTTTGCAGTTTTATATGCTATATAGTTTTAACATAAACCTTTTTATACTTAAATATCATATATATACATTTTATTTATTTATTTAGATATTTTTTCTATATTTTTAAATTGCAAAGTTTATGATAACAAAAGTTAAATCTTAGTGTGGTGTCGTGGGAGAAGAATGTTTTCATTTAGTCCAAAAATATAAATCTTTATTTTAAAGTTAAAATGTCAAAACAATCACAGTAAATTATTAAACTTATTTATTTAATCAAAATAAATTACAAAGTAGTTAATATTATTATGCAATAATTTTCTTGAAGCTTTATAGAATGGTTTTTATAATGGAAAGTGAGAACATTGGGAATCAGTAGCCGACTTGGAAATGTTCGTCTTCATTGGCGATCTATAATGCTCTTCATATTTTACATATTTTCGGTGGTGGCTATAAGCATGGAGATGATCGTGAAAATTCTGGGAGCTTTCGACTTGAAAGAAAACTACATCGGTTGTTTCAAAGATGTAAGATCAATAAAAGAAAAAAGAGTAAAAAGTGTTGAAGAATGCGAAAACCTGTGCAAAGCTGAAGAAAATATCAGTCTAATCGCTCTGAAGAATGGCAAGGAGTGCAACTGTATCAACAGGCTTGATGCCGCCCTACCTTCGTCCGATTGTATGCTTCCTTGCACTAGCGACGAGGCCTGTGGAGGTAAAGAGACTTATTCTGTCTACAGAATAGACCAGTATACAACACACGACGACGTCTGGGGCGATATTTCTGAATATGAAAATTATTTTATTTTGATTAGTAATATTAGCTTAAATATCTCATACAATCTTCAGAGGTGTGCACATTTCTGTTTAGAGGTCAACGCAACATTTTTCATGGGGCTAGAGCAGAGTCTGTGCAAGTGCTTGTATAACTACCCCGATGTTGTAGCACCGAACAAATCCGAACTACAATGCAATGAGATGTGTAGCGACTTGCCAGGCTCCATTTGCAACTGTCACTATATAGACTCTCAAAATACGAACTTGGTGTACGCATTGCGGTTTCAATACGAGTTTCAAAGAGGAAGATCTACCTACGCACACTGCACGGATGTCTTCACCGACATATGCCATGTGCCACCTTGTAAACATATCGAATTTACTGAAATATCAGACTGCAGAAAAGGTTGCAAAGATGGATGGAAGGGAGAATCGTGTAAGGAGAGGGATTGCACCTCAAACAACGGAGATTGTGGCATTGAAATGAAATGCGTCGAAATCCTGGTAAATAAAAACTTGTACGTAGAATGCGCCTGTCCGTTCGGTACCGTAAGAAACAAGTGGCAGCAGTGCGAAGTTTTCAGGAACAACTTGGCTAACCGGCTCGATTCCTTCCTCAGCTCAACGTACAACATGCCAGGACGTGGTCTTATGAGTGCAGATCGTTTGGCTGATGGCGCCTACGATGGTTACATGATGGCTCATACTAATGATCCGAAAACTGCCTGGATGGCTGTTGACCTCAGTATGTTGTACTGCGTTGGATTCGTGAGAGCCTACAACAGAATTATGGAAAGTGAAGAAATGTACATGCTTATCAATGAATTTGCTGTTAAGCTCAGCAAAAATTTTGACATAAACACCAAAGCAGGTATGAAAAGTAATGACGAACTTTTTCTTTGCGGATATGGACCTAAAAAAGCCCTGCAAGGCGGAAATCCTATGATCGTTTTCTGCCAAAACTTCACTGTGCTGTCTAAGTTTGTCATCATCCATCAGCCAGGAGAACGAGAAGGCAATCTGGCTCTAGCTGAATTGGAAATTTACGAAGTTGGTTGCGACATCCTCAACGGCAGGTGCGGAGAAAAAAAGTGCAACGAAGACAGAGTGAAAAATGGGCCGCTCGTCATAAGATGCACCGACTGGACTGATGTTGCCACGATTAATACGCCATGGTATGGATGCTACGAACAGGTTGAAGCTGAATTTTATTTCCTCGAATATGGAATGACCTATTTGGAGTGTAAAATTGTTTGCGACTCCAGGGATTACCTGCTCTCCGTCATGAAGGCCGGCCTCAAATGTGCCTGTGGAGACAAATTGCTAGTTAAAGGCAAATTGTCAACCAGGCTTTGTAAGAAAGGTCACTTCAGGACAAATTTTGTTTATGCCGAATGCGAAATGAAGAGTGAAGTCTGTTCATCACTGCTGGAAACAACAACTCTCCCAAATACTTTAGCAACTCCTAATGCCTTTGCCAATCTTTCCGAACAAACCACCGTGGGACCGGTCATTTCAACCAGCATGATGTACATTATAATAGGAATTTCTTCTGCCCCGTTGCTGCTTGCGATTATTGCCGGAGTTTTAGCTAAAAGGAGGAAGAAAGAGCCTGCTAAATCTGCTAAACCATCGAGTTATGCGGAATCAAGTAGTGTTGGGAGCAAAGTCACCGACACCGAATAAATTATTTACGGTGGCCACATACTTTTTTTTAACTTCATGGTTTCAAATTTCGTTCATGTAATTTCTATCAAACTTATAACTTCCTAAATTTATCCATTTTGAAGAATTCCATTCAAGTTTCAGAGAGATGTGATTAAGTTTATTCCTATCAATCAACCGGCATTAATTTCCGAACTTAATTACGTAAAAAACTGTGAACCAATAATTTCGAAATGTAATAGTTGGTCTTGGTATAAAAAAAAGCCAAACTAATTCTTTTAATAAATAATTTTATTTATTTTAATAAAATTATTGTGTTTGTTCCCNGAAAATGCCTGTTATGAATTTAGTTAGAGAAACATTCTATTTGTAAGATGAATGAATATGTTGTAATATGTAGAAATCCTTAAAGAAATCTAATGATTTAAATTGAAATATAGGGTATCCTGGATTTATTTTTAATAAATATTTTTAATAAAAATCAGACAATTGACAAGTATTTTTCAGGAACGTTTTATTAATATCTGACATAGGAAATAAATATGTTTTTATTCATTAAACATACATCTATTCAAACACCCAATTTTTCATTCATTCATTCAGTCGAGGTTTATCAATCATTTATTCGTCTAATCATTCGTTCGCTTATACATTCTTTCATTAATTCATTCGTTCGTTCGTTTGTTCATGCATTAATTCATCCATTCGTTCATTCAAACCATAACAAGAACGGATAAGAACAAATTTGTTGTCAATTACTTCGTGAATTTTATCTAGAGTTTTTCAAAATATTTTCGCCTGGAATTAAACAATAATAACAATAACAACGACATAGATAGTAGTAATAGAAACAGTAACAATAATAATAATAAAAAAATAATAATAAAAATTGAACACAGAAAATATAATACAGAACATAAAGACAAAACTGATACAAGCTGTGTGAATGACAGAAAGTGAAAGAGAAAAAAATAGATAAAAGATTTAGAGAAAAAAACTAAAGGAAGAGAGGGAGAGAAGGGGGGAAGAGAAAGAGAGAGAGAAAAAAAAAGAGAGAGAGAGAGAAAATTGCTTGTTTATTTTACTCATTACTGTTCCTTTCATCTCTGGATATACTGGTAAAAGTTATATATATATATATATATAACATTTATATATAAATATAATGCTATATATATATATATATAATTATAATGCTATATAGAAATAATTAAACCATAATTAATCATTAACACTAAAACTAAACTTTATAAGGCAATCGTATTGTGAAGTGATGATGATGATGATGGTAATGATGATGATGGTGATAGTGATGATGGTGGTAATGATGATGGTGATAATGATGGCGACAATGATGATGATGATGATGATGATGTATAGAGGCTCTGAATGTAGTATAAAGACAGGGAGATAGTAATATTATATCAACATCATCATCATCACTAATAATAATATTAATAATAATATTAATTCATATTAAAAATGATATTAATAATAATAATAATTAATTATTATTATTATCATTATTGCTTATCATTAATACAATGCCTCAATCGGCCAGAACGTCACCATTATCATCATCAACGTCTTCGTCTTCGTCATCATTATCACTTCTACTATTATTATTATTATAATTATTATTATTTTTATAACCACTATTGTTGTTTTTGTCACTATTATTATTATTGTTATTATTATTTTTATTGTTGTTCATAATTTTATTATTGCTATTCTTACTAGCGGTCGTCGTGCTAATCAAGTGACGAATACCGCTGCTGTTATTATTGCTAACTTTGTTATTATTATTATTATTATTGTTATTATTATTAATAGTAGTAGTAGTAGTTGTTGTTGTTGTAGTAATAGTAGTAGTAGTAGTAGTAGTAGTAGTAGTAGTAGTAGTAGTAGTAGTAGTAGTAGTATTGCGATGAGGCGATGAGTATTCGGGTAAGTATTTGTTTGAAACAAAGGGTCGGTAGTGGTGGAGAAATGTTGGCTGCAGAATCGAACCGAGTATCGAATCCTTATTATTATTATTGTTGTTGTTGTTGTTATTGTTGTTATTATTGTTGTTGTTATTGTTATTATTATTGCAATTGTTGTTGTTGTTATTGTTAATGTTAAATCCGTTAAGCTTATTATTATTGTTGTTGTTATTTTTATTATCATCATTAAAACTGTGTTTGTTGTTGTTGTTGTCACCATTATTTATGGTAGGCGGACTCAGCAAACCGTAATGATGATGATGATATGGATTATTATTGCTATTGTTTGTACTGTTATTCATAGGAAAATTATTATTATTATTGTTGTTATTATTGTTGTTGTTGTTGTTGTTGTTATTAGTGAGATGATGATTAGTAAGAGAGAGATGGTGATGCTGATGAGATGGAAGATGAGGATGATGATGATGATGATGGTCACGTGTTACATTAGGGATGTGCTGATTTTGATCCGCCGAATAGTGCGAATGGCCGCCGCCGTCAAATATGCCGATACCGCCGAGTCCGGCTGCCAGCATACCGGAAGTAGTTTTTTTGATGCACGTGAGTAGGGATGTGCTGACCGGATGTGGATGAGCATGGTGATTGTTGATTATTGATTTCTTTTTCCGTGATTTTGTCGACATTTTCCGGTTTCGAGTCTGTATGCCTTCTTTCTTCATCGTGATTGGTCGGTTTACCTGATTGTGGTGTTACGTGATTGGCTGTTGGTTTGTCTTCTGGGGTTTGATTGGCTGGTGCAGTGCTGGTTCGGCGTTTGATTGGATCGTTCATTTTATTATGATGTTTGACCGGCTGATTTGAATTGTTTGTACTGATTTATAATAATAATAATAAACATCATCGTCCTCATCATCATCATCATCATCATCATCATCATCACCACCATCATCATCATCATCACAATCACTATCGACATCATTACCATAACTACCACCCTCACTGACGTTATGAAGT